ATTAGAGAAATGGTAAATCCAATAGACGAATGGAGTTTAAAACAGGATGTTACGTTGAATTTGTCGTTTTGTTTACAGGAAGTAATCATTATACAAATATGTTTACTGTGGAGCTTTCAAGTACTCAGTCAAAAAAAAGAGTTAAATTGAAAAAGTTTTATGTTAAAAACTCAACTTGTGTTCTGTTGTTTGAATGACTGCAAACTGAATCAAGTTTAAAATAATGCGTTATTTCAAAGTTGGTTGGTTATTTGTTGTTAAGCACAAAGTTACACAATGAGCTATCTGTGTTCTGTCCACCACGGGTATCAAAACACTATTTTTAGCGTTGTAAGCCTACAGGCTTACCGATGGGCCATGAAGGGAGGAGCACAACACCTTATAGGCTAACAAAACAGGACACAAATCTGTTTGATGGTACACAATTTTGTGTTAAATTTTACACTGTCTACATTCACATAACAATATCAGTAAATTAAAGCATTTTGTAACATAATTCAAAAGTTAAACACTGCATAAATACAATTGAATCAGCTCAGAAGAAGAACGTTTTGTTTCCACCTAATCGGTTCAAACCAGAAGTGAACATCAAAATGTAACATCACAACACAACAATGTATTTAAATAAACACAATTTCAAGTTGATTTATCTTTTGTAATTAAGCACAAAGCTACACAATGGGCTATCTTTGCTCTGCCCACCACGGGTATTGAAACCCGAATTCTAGCGTCGTAAGTCCGCAGACATACCGCTATGCAACTTTTCGAGTTGGAAACCACGCGTAATTTGTGTTTCTGGAAAACACATGAAAAGACATGCATTTACATCGCTACAACGATCAGTTGTATTATAACTAATACAAGCTCGAATTTGGAGAACACTAATTGTGTTGCTGTGAACAATGTTTGATATAATTCCCAATACAAAATTTTAACAGTGTAGCCGTGTTCACCAGATTTTAGGGCAGGCTGTCGAGATAGTTTTGTTAACAGGAGATAATTTATTTGTTTGTTTGTTGTATAAAAAAAATTTTGTCATTAACTATTTTTTTTTCTGCCAAGTTGTATGTTTTCGATCCTTATAAAGAGTTTGTTTGTTTTAGCATAAAGCTACATAATAGGCTATCTTAGCTTTGTCTACTGCGGGGAATCGAGCCTGTCAAGAACTTACTTTTTTATATTATATGTATAGTAAGTTAAAATATATGGGTGTATTGAGCTAAGAATTCATCTTCAGTAGGTGTCTGTGACTTGTTGGCGATAAATTCAAAAAATAGACGAACAGCACGCACTCTACTTGTTTTCAAAATAATATATATATATTAAAAACAAGTTAAACGTATGTACAAAATTCTTTACACTATGTATATCATAGTTGTATCTTAAATATTATACAGTTTTCTTCTTGTTGTCAAAAGTCCACTTAGGCCAATTCAATTGCTTTAGAATTCAGTTGATAAGACGAAATATTTTTCTCTGTTTTTATCTTAAACACTATCAGTGTATAATTCATTTATTCCTTTTCTTCACTCTTTGTTTTTCTTTCATCACAACAGCATTGGTGTATAATTCACTTATGTTGTCGTTGAGTTACCGCATTTGTATCCTAAACTTCCGATACTCGTCTGCTTTTTCGTATTTAGGCTTACTTCCAAATAATCATCTGCTTTTTGTTCAAAGTCCACACAGGCAGGTTTAATTGCTTTATAACACCCTTTGTCGAGACATATCATCCTCCTAAAATGCCAGAAAACTGTTAATCTCACTTTAACATATCAACCGTTAGGCTATTCAATCTTACGACGGTTAACTTTACCTTTTCTAACCTTTATCTGACCGAAACTCTCTTTCACTCGGCTTTACTTTTGGCTCTCCTCCCGCTCTCTGGTCTCTCGTCTGGTCGCCGCTATTTATATCTCTCACTGAGGCGTTATAGAATCTCCATAGCCTCGGCATCAATGACTTACAAACACAACTTACTATATTCGCCTGCTTTTAACTCTTTTATTATGGAAAAAAAACCTAAACAACCATGACATATTCACTCACAAAATAAATAAATTAATAATACCTACACTTACCGATGACCCACAGGAGAACATATACAAAGAGAAGCATACCATTATGTTTTCCTGTTTTAATGCGTTCCACTCTGCATTTTTTAAGCAAATTTAACTAAAGTAGTTATTTTTTCACCATGATGTATTTCAGACTAATGTTGCCTTTCTGATGTTTAAGATGATGTTCAGCTACTTCATTTATAGAGTGATATAATGCATTCTCTAATGGTCAGAATCGATAGAACGTTTTTAAATATAACTTGGTCGTAATAGTACACATAAAATGATATTTATCAACATAATATATATAGCTTTACTATGGTAATATGTAAACAATGAGTCTTATTATTATGAGTACTATGATAATGCACATCATTGAGTTGTACCAATATGTTTACCTTAATAATTGACAGTGAGACGAGTAAGCATCTTTACAGTAATAATACACAAGAAGTATCGCCAGAATGTTTACAGTAACAATACAGTGAGTTTTGCTAGAATGTTTACAGTAACAATACAGTGAGTTTTGCTAGAATGTTTGCGGTAACAATACAGAGGGAGTTTTGCCAGAATGTTTACAGTAACAATACAGTGAGTTTTGCTAGAATGTTTACGGTAACAATACAGAGGGAGTTTTGCCAGAATGTTTACAGTAACAATACAGAGGGAGTTTTGCCCGAATGTTTACAGTAACAATACACAGGGATTTGTGCCAGAATGTTTACAGTAACAATACACAGGGATTTGTGCCAGAATGTTTACAGTAACAATACACAAGGAGTTTGTGGTAGTATAATTGCTTTAATAATAAACAATGTGTTATGTTAGTAAAAGGCAAAAGATGCTTTGCTAAGTCGGTCAACAATGCTGAAAATTTTGTTAGATAGTCAACGTGGTTTCACTAGTGGAAAATATTAACTTGCTAATCTTTTGACACTTTTTGAAGAGGTTACTACTTATATAGATGATGGTATGGGTGTTGAATTAATGGATCTGGATTTTCAGATAGCATCTGACAAAGTGCCACATAAAAGGCTTGTTAAACAAATGATCTATAGATTGTATAGGGGATTCTTTGGCTTATTGGATAGAAAAATGGCTAGATGAAAGAAAGTAGTGAGTTGTTTTAAATGGAGTTCTGCCAATCTGGATTAATATGACGAGTGTCCAAACTCAAGGCTCAGTGTTAGGATCTTTGTTTTTGTATTCACATCAATGTCATATAAGAAGTAAAAGTCAATAGATTATTTAAATTTGCTGATGATATTAAGGTTATGGGTGTTACTAGCTGTGAGAAGGACGCTACTGCTATACGAAAGGATATGAATTATTTGGTGACTTGGGTGAATAAATTGCAAATGATTTTTAATCGTGATAAATGCAAGTTGATTCGTCTGATATATAGTTTTGATAGTAATAATATTAACAGTGTTATAGAAGAAAGGAATTTTAGTGTTCTAGTTATGAAGTCATCAAAGCAATGTTCTGTTGCTAGTGGCATGGCAAGTAAAAGTTTAGATTGCATCTACATAAGTATTGAGTATAAGTCTAAGAAAAATATAATTTCATTGTATATGTTATTAGTTAGACCACATATGAAGTATTGTGTTCGGTCATGAGCTCCTTACCTTAGGAAGGACATTGAATTGTTGGAAAGGGTTCAGAGAAGGGTTACTAGAATGGTGCCTGAGATGTAGAGGTTATCATACGAGATCTCTAAAACTGTTTTCTCTTGAAAAAATAAAAATTGGAGGAGATCTGACTGTGTTATTTAAGATTGTTAAAGGAATTGGTAATGTTGATGCATTATCTTTTTTCACATTTAATGGTGGGAATGGTAGAACTAGTTACCGCAAATATATGTTTTGTCAGGGTAAGAATCATCTTCAGCTAAGTTAGATTTATTTTTCTGATAGAGTGGTTGGCCTTTGGAATGGGCTGCCTTCAAATTTGGTGGCTGCAGTTAATGTAAGAGAGTTCAAGAGAAGTCTTGATAATATTTGAATGAAATGACCTGGATTTGAGTGTACATTAAAATAAAGAAAAACATTCAAATCCAGGTCTTTCCATTCAAATATTTATCAAGACTTCCCTTGAATTCTCTTACATTAACTGCATTCACATATGGGTGTGTGTGAGTGTTTACTGTAATAATACACGCGCAATAAGTTGGCGCAATATGTTTATCGTAATGGTAAACTCACGATGAGTCATGATAATACTTTATTTTGTTTCCTTGATATCATTTGTCTATTAATCTATAGAACTCAAGATAACTTACGATTGGAAACCTTATGTTTTCCATTTACGAACATCTTTTTGTAACCTAAAAAACCCCATGACAGACCAAACGTAAGCATGGTGGCTTGTAACGTTTATAGTTGAGGTTCGATCTCTGCAGTGGGCACAGCGCAAACAACCCTTTCTGTATCTAAGCACTTGAAAAAAATAAATTTTATAACCTCATGTCCAAAAAAAATACTCTCAAAGTGTGCTTAATTTTAATATTTATAGCTAAGCGGATAAATGTAAGCACACTGTTTCAGAACATTAAGACGGTATGTCCCGTGGTGGGCAGAGCACAGATAGCCCATTGTGTAGCTTTGTGCTTAATTGTAAGCAACAACAACATTAAGAACAATTGAAAGCCAATTTTAGGGGATTAATTCATTTGAGGAGTATGAAAGTTTGTATGTTTTAATGGTAGTAAAAAAATTCATGGAATAAAATAAGTTCAATTTATTTCATTGTACGTTTTTATATATCCAGTTCAACCAGTTATTGAATATAAATCTTAAGCTTCTTTTGAGCGACGTAGCTTTAGCCTTTCTTAATTATCCATGAAACCTTTTTTGTATTTCCTGTTGTAGAATATTGTGAAACAGTTAAGTACCAGAAAAGGAAGGAAACGTGTGACGTAATTTCCGGTTGAACAGTAGAACGACAACAATGTTTTATGTGGAAGGTTTTTCTTGTAGAGGATCGTATTATTTAAATTTCTACTGTTTCCATCACAGCATTTTGCATTACCGTGATGCGCTGGCTTCCCTTTTTAAGCTCATTTCTGCTATTTCTACAATTCAGTTTTGGTAAGTGCAAGTTTGTATCATAATATTAAGTTGTTGTTTTTTATAAATCTTGTCTATAAAGATGTCATTTTTATGTCTATGTGCATTATGCGATTCCTCAATTATTACTTCCACTGTTCCTTGTTGATTTTCTATAATCGCAAACTTTACTATTTTGTAATTTGAAAATATTTACCTTATTTATACATTTACAACTTCTTGGATATCCATTAGGTATTAAACTAAACGTAAAGAGTACAAAAATATTTTTTACATCTTTTACTTTTCTCATTAGTTTCATTAATTTTTTGTAAAAATGGCTTTGTTCTTTGGTCATCCAGGTAGTAAGTGTCCGCCATTACCATTTTCCGAGGTTAAGCATGGAAGTCTTGTGCGAAAAAACCACAAGCAAGTCGTCGTTAAATGTGATAAAGGCTACTTTTTAGGTGGAGGCCAAAGAAACTTGATTTGTCGCAATGGAAAATGGAATGAGCGAATCCCATACTGCATTTTTGCTGGTAAGGAACAATATTAAATTAAGAGCATTTCTAGAAACCATTCATTTTTTTGTTTAAGTTTAATTATTACATTGAGCATAAGTTAGTTCCATTACTGGGGGAGGGGGGGTGCTTATTTTTATTTCGTTTTTTTTACCCGAAGAAAATTATAGGATTTATTGCAATAGACTCCTGTAATTTTCCTATGTTTGTTTGTTTGTTTTGAATTTCGCGCAAAGCTACACGAGGGCTGTCTGCGCTAGCCGTCCCTAATTTAGCAGTGTAAGACTAGAGGGAAGGCAGCTAGTTATCACCACCCACCGCCAACTCTTGGGCTACTCTTTTAGCAACGAATAGTGGGATTGACCGTCACATTATAACGCCCCTACGGCTGAAAGGACGAGCATGTTTGGTGCGACGGGGATTCGAACCTGCGACCCGCAGATTGCGACTCGAGCGCCATAACCACCTGGCCATGCCGGGCCGTAATCTTCCTATGTTTGGCAAGGATATTATTATGTTCAATCAAAAATTTAACAAAAATATGATCTTAGAACTCCAACTAGATTCACTTGACAACAAAAAATTTGAATATGCAACAAACAACATAAAATTTGGTTTGATTTTAATTTCGCGCAAAGCTACATGGGAGCTACCTGCGTTAACTGTCTCTAATTTAGTAGTGTGAAAGACTAGAGGGAAGGCAGCTATTCATCACCACCCACAGCCAACTATTTTTCCAACGAATAGTGAGATTGACCGCCCCATTATAAGGCCACCACGGCTGAAAGAGCTAACATGTTTGGTGGGATGGGGTTTCGAACGCGCGACCCTCATATTGCGAGACAAGTAATCGGTTAATTGAAAATTTCTTTCTACATTTGAAGAAATTTCAAATGTGCAAAACTTGAAATTAAAGAACGTTACAACAAATCCTAACATCTTGGCACGTGAGTTACGATCCCCTCAGTTCTATTTCAATGGAGATATTTAATTGTGTGTCACAACTTATAAGGAAATGAAACAAAACGCACACACACACACAAAATGTCACGGCATCTCAAACACACATCTTTATTCAATTTCAGCAACTTTTGGAAGATTTGAAGAATGTGCCTTCATTCTAATTAATAATATAAATATCATGAGATAATTTTCATTGCAACAGAAGCTGATATGATACGAAATTAAGAACCTATATCATCTCTTCAATTCAAGAAAAACGAAATATGGTTTTATATCATCTGAATTCTTTCAGTCAAAATAAGAAAGCAATTAGTTTAGTATTTTAAAAATAAGCTGTTTCTTCACAAGATTTTACAATAAACAGTTAAGTGTTTCTGCCTTAAGTAGTCACATATTCTAGCAAATCGCTTACCCTTTAAAATGCCTCTTCCTTCCTAGAGTTTTAAATGAATAGTCAAATCTACCTGTATTAAGAAGTCACGTGCTCTAGTAAACCACTTAGCCGATACAAATGCTGTTTATTCACAGTGTTTTCTATTAAATATATCTGAATTAAACGGTCACGTGCTATAGTAAATCGCTTGTCCTTTAAAAAGGCTGTTTTTCGTAATGTTTTACATTGAATAGCTAAACCTATCTGTATATAAAGCAGTCACGCGTTCTAGTAAATCACTTAGGCTTAATGAAAAAGTCGGTTCTTTCATAATATTTTACAATAAATAATCAATTATATTTCTTATGCATTCAGCTATATGACTAAATAATATGTCAAGAAACGCATCTCAAGAATTGCCAATAAAACTGCCTCAATTTTAACACACCAATTCTGCCTTGAGTCTGAGATTTTAGAACACTTATCAAAGTGTCATTAAGTTCAGTTGGAACTGAAGGACATTCAACTTAACAAAGAGTTCATATAAATTACAAATTCTGGCCGCATCTTAAGAACACCAACGACTTTTTTTAAATTATATTATGTCAACTGTTTCCTTTTATGCAGATTTCATTAAAAGTTACAATGCTGAAAATTGGCATAACTTCCACAGACTAACTCTTAACAAACATCTACTTCTACACAGTATTGAACATTACATATACCAATAGGCAAAGTTCACAATGGGCTATCTGTGCTCTGCCCACTACGGGTATCGAAACACGGATTCTAGCGTTGTAAGTCCGCAGACATACCGCTGTGCCACTGGGGGACCACAATGTAAACGAAAAATTCATTGGTTGATAATAAGCATAATATTAATTTATACTCATACTAATTTTTATTACATTCCACTTTTCTGGTGAAGTATGAACTTCCTACAAAAGTGGGTAATTAAATGTTTTTATGTTCACTTGTCATTTTGTAAATACCTTCAGTCTAGCTACTAGCAACGACTATTAGCAACAAAGTTTGCCCATTATAGGGCATGCGTGCATGTCTTATATCAGTAAGTTCGCTGTCCTATTAGTATACTAGCTAGAATACCTGCCCCCTTTCACAGAAGTTATGTAAATTCATAATTAATGAAAGGTTATCTTAGGACATGAAAAGTTGCTTCTCTTATACGTAATTGTAAAAAACGCCCCCAAAAATTGCAAAACACAAAATGTGAAACCACGTGGACCCAACAAACCTTCATGCCAAATTTGGTGAAGATCCCTGAACATGGAGCGAAGTAGTGTTAAAAACCGCAAAAATGCCCATGAAAACCGCAAAATGCAAAACTGAAAATTTGTATGTACCCCCGCATGGACCAAATGAACATCCATACCAATTTTGGTGAATATTCATCCACACCCTGCGAGGTAGTTATATGACAGACAACAGACGGTTCTACTGTATTTATATAGATTTAGGAAAGCAAAACAAACAGTTTTGGTAACAAAGAATAGGGTTTTCTAGCTTTAACGTTTGTCAGTAAATATAGACAAAGGTGTACAATTACTAAGCTATTTAAAAACTGATATCATGGCCATCATTACTTAAGTTTATATAATATAATATAGCACTTATAGGTATAACTTGAAAACAGATCAGCAGTGCTTGTATTGTGCATGTTTGATGTTGACATTACGTGCGAATTCTCAGACTTATTTTGATGAACATAAGGTTTGGAAACTTATTTCAATAGTTTATCTGAAACGACTAATACCACAATAATGGCTCTAAAATGGTGTTGAACACATGTGATATGATGTTTAACACATATGGTATTGGACATACACCAAACGTTTATCTGAAACGACTAATACCACAGTAATGGCTCTAAAACGATGTTAAACACATGTGATATGATGTTTAACACATATGGTATTGGACATACACCAAAAGTTTATCTGAAACGACTAATACCACAATAGTGGCTCTAAAACGATGTTGAAGTTTCAGATAAACTTTTGGTGTATGTCCAATACCATATGTGTTAAACATCATATCACATGTGGACTAATACCACACTAGTGGCGCTAAAATGATGTTGAACACATGTGATATGATGTTTAACACATATGGTATTGGGCATACACCCAATTTAGTTTAGTTGTAGATTTGAGTCGCCCGACCATAACGGTTCTTGGCATTTGCCAAAATGCAGCAAACCCCCTTCTGGTGTGTAAAATAAAATAACTAACCATTGACACAAGTTACAAGTTGAAAAACAATTAACACCATCTGAAAAGAATAAAATAATATTGCAATTAACTTACAAAAGTTCAGCAATGGCTTACAACTCGAAAATTTGGGTTTCGATACCCGTGGTAACTAGAGCGTTGTAGCCCAACTTACAAATTTCAATATTTTTATACAGGTAAAAGTATATAGAGAATCTATTTCAGTTAGCTCTATATTAAAATGTATGCAATTTCTGTTGTATTGTTTACTTTTATAGCAATCAAAGTTATTGAAGGGAAAATTTTATTTTTTATCACTTTAAGAATTAAACCGATTCATCTATTTGGTGAATAACATTATTGAAAACATACTGCAACTTTTTGAGCTTATCACATTTAACCTTTACCATAAACTTAGATATGCAATGTCATCCCCCTCCTCATGTTCCACATGCTAACGTTATTGGTGACAACTTTGAGGTCGGACAGTCTGTCTTATACGTGTGTCACGAAGGTTACAGTTTGGTGAAAGGCGATGGTAAGATGACGTGTTTGGCTGGCGGGAAATGGGGTGTACATAAACCTATATGTGAAGGTAAGTACTCCTTCTACAAGCAGCTTTCTGTGTAATCTAAAAATAAATAATATACTTAAACAAATAAAATGTTATACTATACTATACTATACTACACGTCATGGTTATGCGTTGTTAAAAAGTAGTCGAAAGTACTAAATAAAAATACTAATTATTTTCTTGACCTTAATAGAATTGGAATGATAGGCCCTGATTTTTTAAATTTTTTTAGGGGGGCTCGTGTTACTGATAATAATGTATTTGAAGGATTTTTTCTGAGAAGTTTATGTAATGATAAGGTCTATTCAAATTGTTTCTCAGATTTCATGTTAGTTTATTCAGAGTTCTTGTTAATTTATAACATCTTATGAAAACCTTTTATAACAGCTTGCTGCAACAGTTTTGTAATTGGATAATATCCTCAAGTTCTTGGAAAATTATTAGTTACTTAGACCGTATTTTCGAAACTGTTTATATCTGTTTAGTTAGAGTGTTGTTTGCAACGAAAACGAAAGATAAACAGTATTTTCGAAACTGAAAAAGTTTTCCTTTTGTTCTAAGTGTGAAAGTTTCTGAACCTGTTATATTACAAACAAGTTAGAACGACTTCAGATAGCTTCGTATACATAACGAAATTGTCAGTATAAGTTACTCAAAATAACTCGATGAAGCACTTCTAATAATAATAATCAAAATCAAATTATCGTTTAATGATTATTTATTTGTATGACTTCGTTAGAGGATGCTATGAAAATAAATACACGAAATGCTGTGTTCTTTTTCTATTAAAATAATTTGACACAGATAAATTTTACAATTCTAAAGATAATGAACTAAAACTTAAGTGAAAAAACGTCTTAGTTAACAAATTAAAACTCGTTTCTTATTTTCTAGCTGACGTACAAGACGTGAGAGATGTAGCTAACAGGTTGGGCAACTCGTTCATCAACAAATTGGGAAGTATCTCAAGCACCAGTAAGTACTATACTAAACCAATTAACTCGTGCATCAACAAATTGGGAAGTATCTCAAGCACCAGTAAGTACTATACCAAACCAATTAACTCGTTT